CTGGGGTGAGCGGGGGGAGGGGCGCTCCCGGCCCGCGCGCTAATGGCGCCTTAGCGGCGCCTCTGCCCGGCGCTTGCTTCGCCCTCACTGTGTCCCTCTTCCCTCCCCCCAGGAGATGGCGAAGAGCCTGAGGAGCAAGTGGAGGAGGAAGATGCGGGCGGAGAAGAGGAAGAAGAACGCGCCCAAGGAGCTGGAGAGGCTGAAAAAGATCCTGGGAACCAACGCGGATGTCGCCATGGAGGAGGTCAAGGAGGTGGCGACCGTGCTGCCCCCCAAGAAGGTCCTCGAGCAGGGGGGTGAGTTGGGCTCCCGCAGGGCGGCGCTGGAGCTACGGGGAGGGCCCGGCTGGCGAACCAGACCAGGCGCCGCGGGAGGCCGAGGTGCCGCGTCGGCTCTCGCGGGCCCTGGGTTGCCCAAGACCTGCCTGCTGATCGCCTGGCCGCCTTCTCCTGTCCCTCGTCACGCTTAAAGCGTGGTTTACACTCTACCAGTTTCTTCTGTTGCAGTCACCCACGTGCAGGGACGACTTGGGGTATTCCTCTGGCTTTCACTGTCGTGATCAGATTTAGAATTATTTTAGGTCAAGAATAGTGAGTTGGAAAACCAAATCTTTATCTTTTAAAGCCCAAAGATGTTATTAAATCACTGAATCTGGTCATCTCGCAACATTAACGATCTGTATTGCATCTGTTCACTTGTGGAACAAGCTTATTAGCTTCTGATTTAAAGTATGTAGTGTCTCATAGAGTGATATCTCTTTGTGAAGACAGATAAGTGAGGATTCACAGCTTGATATTTGCGGTTAAACTGGAGATAGAGTATATTTTCCCTTCTAGTGTAAGTGGGACACTAAATATAGTAAAAGTTGGTCCTGAATCTGAAGTAATTTTTTTAGAGATTTTTGTCAATAATGGAATGATTGGGTTTTTTCCCCTCTTTACTGTCTCAAGCTAGGGGTAGTAAGGACCCTAGTTTTGTATGCTAATTAATGCCACATTGCACATGGTATGGGAGTATGTGGCATTAGGTGCCACAGTCTTCCTCTCTGTTGCTTGAATAGGATGTAATCTGCATAGGAAATAACCCAGGAAGTGGAAACAAAGGTTTTAAATAGCTATATATTGGACAGGAGTCAGAAAGACACCTTTTCTCCAAAACTGCGGTCTAAACTAAATCATCATCCTTTTTTCTTCTCCAATTTATGCCACTTCAGCTGATTTAAGCTTTTTATGTGGCATGCAGAAGTCTTTTGAGACACCACAGTGGGGATATAGAATAATGCTAGTAATCACTGTCAGTCACACAGCCAGTTCTGTCAGTATTTCAGAAATTAGGAAAGAGAGGAAAGTGTTGTGAGGAGGAATAGCAGAACCTGTAAACTATATTGAAAATAGAAATAGAATGCTATATAAAAATACTTTCCCAATTAAGGGTAGCTTAGAGCATAATTTGTAATTTTGTCCATGGTTCTGATTTGTCCCATAAACTAGGTGTAAAAGTTCTTTATGGGATTCTTAGGATTGAATTTCCAAAATGTTTTAGGACATTGTTGGCCTACTGATACTGAAGCTGGAGGAAACATTGTCTTAAACCTAGTTTCTGAAGCAAACGCCTGGCTAGCTGTCATTCCTACACCCCGTTCCAACTGCTGTCAACTTTTCTACAAGTGGCCAGTTTCACTCAGCCTTTGTAGAGAGACAGCATCCTCAGAAATACCTAAGTGTGTGTATATATATTTATTTCATGAAACAACTACAAGTTTTGTGAAAATGATGGTGTTGTCTTTGAGAGGACTCTTCAGCACTAGCTGTGGACACAAGGGAGTTCACATTGCAAAATGTTATAAGGGACTGAAGTAGCTGAAGGTTTCATCTAGACTAGCACTTTCCATAGATAGGTGAATGATTTTCCAGCCTAAGAAGGTATATAGATGTGTTAGGGATATTTTCCTGTGGTACATTAAGGTATTTTTCACAGCACATTGTGAAATATTTTTTTCCCCAGTTTTTGTTATGAGGAAAAAAAAGAAAAAGAAATAGGAAGATCTGGCTAACCTTTGGTCATAAATGGTTTGTAGCTGTTTTTGAAACTTTGTAGGCATGTACATTGTATTTCAAGGTAATAATATCCATTGAGTCTGCTTCAACTACCTACTTGTACAGCTTTTTTTTCTTGGTCCTTTTCTCTTTGTCTTTAACTCCTTTAATGCTTTCTTTAAACCCTTTAAGGTTTTCTTTATGTCCTTTGACTACTTCTGTTCAGTAGGTTTCTTCCTTTTACTGATTCCTACAGCATCCTTGACATTGCAAAGTATGATGAAAACGTGCTATGTGAAGAGCTGATATTTTTTGTCTAGGAGTATTTCTTTAGTTAATATGGCAGCTGACATTTATTGTGGATGTGCTTTTTCTGCAGTCAAAATTCATGTAACAGATTAACCTCAGTCATATGATAGGACAGGAATCAGAGAAGAATCTTACGTAGAATTGGTTTTCTTGAGGTACTGATTTTTTATTTTCCTTGAGGTGTTCCTCTTGTAGCCTTGTTGTCTCAGCGAGACATGACATTCATGTGGTGTTAGCTAGCTGGGAATGCTGTTCTTGGGAGTGACTGTGTCACAGGTAGTCTTCCTGATCCTAGAGATTAGTCCTCTATTTCTGTCTCTAAATATATTAGACTTGACCTCATGCTTGCTTTTTGAAGCAATTGTAGCATCACTGGCTCATGCTTCGTACTGTCATTGTATTTCAGCTTTTCTCTTTGTTCTTCTCCTTACTTTCTTAGACTTTTTACTTTCTTCATCTTCCACTCAAATTAATGTAATTTTTTAGAACGGATCTTAAATGTTACATCATAAAAAGTGTTTAATTGTGCATATGTTTCAGTAAGCCTATGGCTTCCTGTATGGTTGCAGCATTTGTTGGAGACCACACACAATGTTTTTAGACACAGTATTGGAACAGATGGCAGACTAAAGAATAAGGTGCTTTGCCAAGAGATGGGCCTTTAGGGAAAATTCTGAATATTTACCATCAGCTGTTGAACTTCCTGGGTTGCAGTTGTATTGGTTTGGAGCGAGCTTTCAGTGTATAAAGCCTTTAGCTCTCTACATAGAAATACTGTTGTGTGTAGGGATATTTTTGCATAATTTTTGTGAATCTAATAATAAAATAGCTTCTATGAAGCTAATTAATGTATTTTGCTCACTACATGTAAATACCTTTCTTTTTCAGATGACTGCAAAATGGACATAGATAATAAACGAAACAAGAAAACGCTTCTGGACAAGCATGGACAGTACCCAATATGGATGAATTCCAGGCAGAGAAAGAAGCTGAAGGCACAGCGTGTTAAAGGGAAAAAAAAATCAAAACTAGCCAAAGGCCTAGCCTGGTAAAGCCAATTTTGTAAGATCATGAATTTTTTACTTGCAAAATAAATATCCTAAATAAGTACATTTTTGTGCTTGGTCACAGAGTATAATTAGTATACTAGTTAGTATACATGTAACACTGCGTGTTACATGAAGTTTTGAAGAGACCCTTAGGCCAGCAAATGATGAAAGCAATATCAATTGGGTGTCTGCCAAACTTGAAAAAAGAAAACCCAAAAAGCATGCTGAGTGCCTTTGAATAGACTAAGCTGTGGCTACCTGTTTTCTTGGGGGGGGGCAGGGTCTTCATCTTTTAAATTGTGAACGCTGAAAATGCTAAAAGGAATCCCAGAAGTAATTAAACTAAATGGTTTTTGTACTGTGGTCTTTGTCAGTGTAACTTGTCTTTTAGTAAATTTAAACAAAGGATTCTGTAAGCTCGCCATATCCTTTAAATTATTCTGTAAAATTACTTTTGTTGCACTGTTTTGTGTTGCTTTTAACATATGGTAGTTACAAAAATGGGGTTTTAACATGTATTTTAAAAGAGATTATACACTGAAATCAACACCAAGGCTTCATGAAACTTCTATAAGTAAAAAGACAGTGTCAGTCTGACTAATTTGCAAAGAGAAAGTTGTTGGAACAAAGAAGTATTTCACTGCTGTCTATAACTAAAACATTGTAGGAACTAAATAACTGGAAGGAAAACATTCTTTTGTTATTAATATGAGAGAATGCAAACACAGATTGGAAATAACATTGTTTTATTTAGGATTTTCCAAGTTTTAGTAAAGTAAATGAGGATTTACTTTTCTGTGTGTATTTTCAGTGGCCTTTTATTCCTTTTAAAATGGTACTCATCTAGCATTCTTTACAGTGTGGGCATAGGATAAAATATTGCATAATTGTGTAACAGATGCCATTTATGTGTGATTAGCTACAGTTGGTTGCATATTACTCAGCAATAACATGTGATGACAGATGCAAGAACTAGTTGCCCTGAAAGCTTGTGCTTTTAAAATGTCTCTCATTTCAAGGATGGAAATAATTATAGTACCGGTCCTACAGTGTGTTGCCAGCTGAAGTACCATTCATCAATAACTTTCATCCAGCTTCATCCAAGATGGGATCCACAAGTCGTGATATGTCTTTTGTGATAACTTGGGCATAGGAAATAGGATTTATTCTTTTTAAAGTAATTATACTTGCTTATACTGTGCTAAAATCCATTAAGAAGAACTCAACCTGATAGAAAACTTCGGAATTTTTATTGTTAGGGGAAAAATATTTTGTTGCTTAGGTAAAGAACTACAAAGGTGTTGGAGGAAATACCAGTGCATCTTCTGTTTTCATATACATTGACAATTAATGAGACTTGGCAATATGTGTAGATCAAAGTTAACCAAATTATATGTTGTTAATAACTTTGTACTTTAAAATCATTCACATTAAGTTGATAATATCCTCACTAAAAATAGATTGTTTTATTAAATGGGTCTAGATTTCAGTATTGAGTATGATAGCATTTAGATTAGTACTACCTTAAAATTGATTAATAGGGAGAAAAGTGTTCTTTAAGGTTCATAATTGTGTTTATCCAGAAATGGAATGGACAGTCAGTATTTCTTTACTATTTTAGTGACATAGGCTGTATTTTGCTTAATGTGTGCTTTGGAGAGTTGTGGAGGGGAGCTTCTTAGGCTTAAGTGCTAACAATTTGGGTTTTTTCTGTAGAGTAAGCACAGTGCTATTTTTGATGTGCTTGTTTGTAAATCAGATTACTTTCAAGCGGCTGCTGGTGGGAAAGCAGGCTGCTTTTCCTGAGTGGAGATAATCAGACTGGCAGCATACTCCCCATTTAAATGTACGGCTTCAGAGTCAGTTAATTTCATTCTTCAGGTGCGCAGCCATACTCTCTGTCCCAATTTAATCAATTAAGGCTGCCACCGCTGTACTTGCATTACCCTCTCCTCTGGAATTGTTCCAGTTCTGCCTCTGCTTCTTCCTCTAGAACAAAAAATGATCTGCACAACTGAATACTCTTTATTTCTTCTTTTATGACCTAGCCCAGAGCTTTGTTGCACAAATTTAAGTGTACTGCTTTTGAGACCAGATTAAGGATTTGACTCTCAAATGAGAGATGGCAGATGCTGCACTGATCTTTTGTTTAGCAGTTATTTCCTACAGGTGAAACAATACTGGCTATGTGAGGTGTTTCCTTCATGGTGTCCAGGATGAAGTCAAACAGATTCACTTAAACTATAGATATTTTAAGACATCCTGTTTGATTTTTTTGAGCTGAAACAGGGTAAGAAAGGAATGAACCCTTGCCTTTGCTGGAAGGTAGGTCTTAGTCTAGTACCAATGTACTGTGTACAACATCACAGCTCACTCAGGTGAAGCAGAGCTCTCTCTGGGCCGGAAAGGATTTTGAGAGCCCTGCTGGGTGGGGTCTATAATCCAGGCTGAAGGCTCGCTTGTAGACAGACAGCAGGAACCTGGCTAAATGTGCAGCATGGTTATAACCTCAGAGGCTGAGTCACAGATGCAGCAGCAAAATTCTACCTTCTAGGGTTTGAGCATATACTATGTATGGATGTGGTAATTTTGTATTTGAAATTTGCTTTAGATCTGCTTTGAGCAGCTATATTTTTTGAATGTGACTACCAAACTTTTAGTTGTCATTGAATATTTGATTTGCATTGTTGAATCTGAAACATTCTGTTTGATCACTTCATGAAGAAAATCATTTGTACTTCTTCACAATAGAAAACTAACTTAAACATACTAGGTTTTGGCTGAAATACATGTTTTAAAAGTCCTTGGGGATTTTCAGAGAAGTTATCTGCCTCTAAAACCAGCATTCTAATGATATCATAATTCATTGATCTTTATCTCAAAAAATTTTTTAGGTTGTGATTGAATTGATTAAGAAAATTGATGGAAGTCTAAAAGTGTATAACTGAAATAGCACTGTCAGTTCAGTTTTCTGCTGTGTAACTGTGCTATTATGAAACTATTTTGTTGAAACTTCCTACCACTGTAACTCTGCCACCTACCTGCAAAGTGCTGTGGTAGCTGGATTTCATGGATCTACAAAAGGTGTGGGAAATAACATAGGCAGTTTTGAACTACAAGCATAAATGTCAGAGCTGAAAGAATTAAATACTGTCATTTTATTGAAATGTTTCTGTACTATAAAATGTGTGTGTGTGTGTGTGTATACAGTATAAAAACTGCATCAGCAAATTGCTAAATGTCCTACAGATTGTTGGCAGTTTCCTGAGAAGACGTCTGCCCTTTTTGGCACAGTATGCAAGACTTTGTTTTAAAGTGAGTTATTTCAGATGCCTCAAATAACTGGTGGTGGTGGTGGTGCAGTTCCTGGGCCTTTCTGGTAACTTGTTTGTGCTCTGGGACACCTGCTTTTCTGCACTGTATAGTCAGGTGGGTTGGGAGACTAACCTAGCTGAGATATGCTGGAAATATTCCTATTTTCCCCCTATTTTTTCAGCTGAATTGGTTTACAGCCTTTCTGTACAAAAAGCACTGTCAGTAGGAGGCAATCCAAGACTGGGAACAAATAGCTGGTGAAGGCAGGGCTGTGTGAGACAGACCTTTTGCTTCAGCACTGATCTCGTGCCACCATTTCCCTGTGGCATTAGCGGCTCAGTGCAGTCACTTTGCAGTGCAGTGTTTTGAAGATGGGGAGAGGTTCTGAAGATTAAGTCAAGCAAATGCATTGAATAGTGGTTTTGAAAGTTATTCAGTGGAGAATGTAGCATTAGAATAATTGAGGTCAGCGTTCTTTATCTTATAGTCCCTGTTACGTTTTGCTAAAACGCTGACAGCTTAGGCTCCACTGATGAATATAGTCAGCTGCGAGCCTGTACAGATTCTTTCAGTTTGCTTTATCTTTGGCTTTACCTGCAGCTGTCACTGTGGTTTTAGACTAAGTCTGGTTTGGGGAGACCTAGTACTGGATAGCCACATCCTGAGGATGCAAGGTGCTCCTCTGATACATGGTCATACATATTGTTTGGTTTTTAAAAAACAAAAGTAGCCCTCCTTTATCTATACAAAGGCTTTATACTGTATGTCTGTTTATACTCTGCTACCTTTTCCTCCTGCAGCCTGAAGAGTTGCATGGTTCTAGCGAATTTGATGGAAGCTGTATGTCTGATCTGTATCAGGTTTGTAGTGTGAATTTGTCTGGTGTTAGAGATTATACGACTACAGCCTTAGCACTGCATAAATGTGGGAGTGCAGAGCAATCTATTCCTCTGAGTGGCATGGTCTTAATTGAGTTATGGCAGTTGTGGCTATAATTAGAGTTTGAAGCCATAGCTGTGAATTGCTCTTTTTCAGGCCAGGGTTTTGCCATCAACTTTAACTTACCTAAGGGTGAGGTTTCAGAGGAGGATTGAGCCATCTGATCGCTCACTGCTGCAAAAAGAGGCTCTTCAACTTTTGCCTATCCCTTCTCCAGCTGCACTGCCCAATTCATGATTTCCTACTTCAGGAGAAATAGACATTGGGGTTTTTAATTCTTTTTTTCTGAGCTAAAAGTAAGAGAGAACCACAACTTTCTTCGGTTTGATAAACACTGCACAGTTCTGACAAGCCCCATGCTCCCCCTGTGCTTTTATTCCCACACTACTACAGTGTTCTGATTTCAACTTTCCCTTATCACTAGCAACAGTAGTCAAAGGGAAAGAGAAGGCAGAATAGGAAGAGGATAATTTTTGCGCTGCCCCCTCTCCCTCTTCCTAATAACTTTAACATCACTGTCACAGGTCTCTGATTTATTTGGTACACATACAAAAGGTCTCAAATGTTAGAAACGGGACATGGTATGGCCACAGAGGGTTGTGTATCAAGGGTCCTACGCAAGGTAGCGTGAGGTCTGCTTTATGAAGGGCTTGTATACTGAGAGCAAACAAGCAGTGACTTGTTTTCTTCCAATTTCAGTCTAATCAACTGTTCAGGAGACAATGAAGGTTATGAGATTCTGGTTTGGTAAACTACTACTTAGCATCTTTTCTCCCTAATTGCACTTAATTTTCTTGCAAGTCTCCTAAAGTCTGGGTGTAGATTTTATAGCATTTTAAAACTTTGCTTTTAACCAGAATTTGGGTTTGTGGACAGTATTTTGGAACACAAAGGCACATTTTTTGTCTCCAGTACTGCTCATCCAACTCAGTCCAGCTGATCCATTCATACCTGTTGCCATTATGTAAAACATGTACCACGTCTCCTTTTTGAAAGCTGACAAATTGATAATGTATAGGTGCAATAGCTATTCCATGCTACAGCTTGCTACCTTGAGTCTTTACATTACTTCGTCAACAGACATGCTGTAAACTTGGCTTTGACAGATTCTAACATCTGTGAATGCAAGAAGAACTTTTTAGATGTGTTGATTGTACTTCCTGGCCTGGCACTATAAGCCTTACAGTTACTTTCTGTCCATTTTGCTTCCGCAAAATGTGACAGAACTTAGTACAGAGCGGATCAGAGCTGCAATTTGTCTCAAGTGAATACAAAAGATTTCTGTGAAGGATTAGAAGGACGGCTGTGTTTCAACAGCTTCTTTCTCACAGTCTCGGGATTAGATCATGACCACTGCTGCTACTGAATATCTTCACTCCAAATGCAAAATTCAAGTTAGTTCACTTAATATAAAGAATATGTGCAAAAATATACTTTAAACTGATTGTGAGAATTAAGAAAGGTATGATACATTGCTTTTTTCTGAACTACTTGCACCCCCTGAAAGGTGGTATTGTCAGAGGATACAACGAAAGA